CCCTACCTTCCCCTGCCCTAGCTTACCATCTTGATAGGAACTTTTTTCAGTTTGGTTGTTAAAGTCTGGGTCACATGATTTCAGTATTAACTCTGTGGTTTGGATCTTTAGCTCTTTCATTCCTTAATACCAGCAATGCACCCAAATCCCCTTGACCTCTGCCTCCCTTTCTTCTCATGTGTCTTTTCTCCTCTCCTCTGCTCAATTTCTTTCCTTTTCTTTCTTATACTTTGGGGTCAAAGGTGATCTAGATACCCCTCCCCCTAATTGAAGCCATTGCATTCTCTCATCCTATTTTCAAAGTATCATTTATCAGTGATATCCTGTGCTTATCCTCCTTCTAGTTTATTTCATTTAACTTGCATCTTCCAGTTCCATGTTGCAGTGAATCACATTATTTCACATTATTTATAATACTATAATACATTATATTATATATTACTTATAATAGTATTATACTCCATTGTGTGGTAGTAGAATATCAACTGCATTTCCATCTGTTTTATGTATTGAGATCAACTGAAAACATTGCAAGTCTCACTTGCTGCCATGGCAGATAAAACAATGTTCAGAATCATTGAAATGCCAGTGATCCAATGAGAATCTGAAAGGCAAACCCAGGACTAAGGAAGGTGAGAACTTGGGTTACATCCATGACCAATTTAAAATACACAGCTTGTCTTTGTACTTGATTAATTTCTTAGCATAAATATTTAAACTGTTTTCAGACTGTTTCCAAATACAACACAATGTAAATAATATCTTGACTTTAAGTGGGCCTAAACAGTAGGGGAAAATTGCAAAGTAAAATTGCAAATCAGGCTAGGATTTATGGATCAGTAAGATAAAGAGAAAAAGTAATAGAACGATTATAAGGAATTTCAAATTCTTGATATTTGTCAGTATTGCTAATATGATTTGCCTGTCTAAGATAATGCTAATTGATGAAGTCCCCAAATTGGATTTAAACATAATATTTTCAACAAATGCTAAGAGAAAATTTCAAAAGAAATGTGAATCAAAGTTTATTGTCTCCTCATGGCTTTTACTGGTGCTCACCTCTCAAACAAGAATCAAGATATTTTTAAACAAAAGTCCCCCCAAATCAGCTTTTCCTGGTAACCTGTGGCCAGTGAGAGACTGTGATGTAGAGGGTCATCGTTGACTCAAGTCCTGCTATAGAAGTCTCTTCAGTCTGGTTCTCTTTAGCTCTCTGCAAAGCCTTACCTTCAAACAGTGCTTGGATTGATTCAATTCTAGAGTGGAAAATGATTAGATAACACAGCTTCGATTCAAGAAATCAATTTTTAATGTGAACATTGTGCTATAGCATCAGGGTGTTGTTAACTTGTCAACAGATTTACTAAGCTGTTTATTTCTAGTCGAGCTTTCTGTGTTACGTTTTTTGTTTGTTGAGTTTAGTTGGCTTCTGTGTTACTTTCCCCTATAGTTTGGTGGGTTCCTATTGGAATTTCGGTATCAAGGAATAGGAGGAGTCGAGCAGCAGCATCTGGGCCAAAGAGTACACTGGGGCACCTGAAATAATTCATTTTGCTCTCTCTGTGGAAAATATTTGTGAAGTAATGGAGCTGAACCTTTGGCATGGCCGCAGTGGTGGTGTATGCTGGCTGCCACTGTGTCTTTATGAGGGCAGGTACTCAGCCTGCCCACCTTCCCTGGGTGCCTCAGACTTTTCAGCCATGGGGATCAGTGTTTTCATGAGTTTTAGATGCTCGGTGTGCATGTCCTCATATATTTAGTTGTGAATGTAGAGCAGGGCTGGTGGGTGATTCATCCTGGCAATGGCTGTGGGAGTTGTGCATGGCTGCCAGGGCTTCTGTAAGTGCATGGTTGTTATCCAACCCAACTCTGAGAAGAAACCAGAGTTCTCAGCCTGGGCATGCAGATACCTGAAGTTGTTTGCAGATTGGTGTCTCTGCAGGGAATATAGGCAAAGTGGTGGAGTTGAGCCCTGTGCATGGCTGCAGGACTGGAGTGTCAATGCAACTGCTAGGACTCTGACAGAGTATTTACATGTCTTACCTGCTTCCCAAGGTTGCCCCAGAGTTTTCAACTGTTGGGACTGCTGTTTCTATGAAGTGTAGTTGCTTGGATTGCATCTCCTCTGAGATTTAGTGGTGAATTGGCAGAGCAGAGCAACATGGCAGCACTGTGGGAGTGGACATGGCTGCTGGGGCTTCCAGAAGTATGGGGGTGTAGTGGGAAGCTCTCCAGCTTGACTGCAAGAAGACACCAAGAGTTCTCAGCCTAGGCATTGTAGTTAACTGAAACTATTCTCAATTTTGCATCTCTGCATAGAATAGTAATGAAACCGTGGAGTTGAACTTTTGTCATGGTTGGAGTGGTGGAGTCTGCATACAGATGCTGGGTCTTTGTCAGGGCAGGTACTTGGCCTGCCAGGCTCCTGAGGACACTCTGGGTGTAGGCTTATATCTACACTGAGAATCACTGGTGAATCAGTAGAGCAGGGCCTGTGAGTGAAGCAGCATGGCAATGGCCTGGGAAATGGGTGTGACTGCCAGTGCATCTGGAAGTATGGGGTGGTGGTAGTGAGGTTTCCCACGCTAACTCTGAGAAGACACTACAGTTCTTAGCCTGGAACTTGGATACCTAAAATTATTTGCAGTCTGGCGTCTTTGCAGTGAGCATTAGCAAAACAGTGGGGTTTAGTCCTGAGCGTGGCTGTAGTGGTAGGGTTGCTCTTGGGGTTTCAACACACTCACTCTGTCTGCCTCCTGAGGACCCTCCAGGGCTTTTAACCATGGAGAACATAAATTTTAACAGCTTAGACTTGTGTCTCCTTGGTGATTTAAGTGTGAATAGGAGAGCAGTGCCAGTGGGTGAACCAACATGTGACAGCTGTGGGCGGTGGGTCCTTGTGACTATGTTTCCCAGTTAGTCTTGATTTCTTGTGGTTTTCATTCTCACTATAATAGACTTAGTATAGAACTGTGATTTACAGAGTTGTTGATAGTTCAGTTTTAGTCATATATTTCAACACCAATTCCACCAACAGTGTCAAATTCCCTCCACCAGTGCTACTATATTCCACCCCGAATCTCCAACTGCATTCCCACCCCCTCCAGCCCCACCCCACCACCACCTTCAACTTAATAGGCACAGCATTACAGAATTCCAGTGGTTGTAGCTTAGATCTCATGTTTTCAGTTTTGCTGAGTGTATATTTTGGATACATGGCTGTACACGTCACCCATTTCACCAGTACAACTAAGTCATTATGTTTATTCACCTGTTACTTCTTGTTCCTTTCTCTCCATTATTTCTTTCTTTTCATGTCCTCTTGTCTCTAAACATTGGGATAAAGGGTGATTTAGGCATCCCCCTTTTACTACATTCCCTCATCCAGTATTCTATACACTACAGATAAGTTCAACCATCCTATGTTTATCTATCTTCTTCTGCCTTACTTCACTCAACATATTTTCCAGTTCTATCCAGATTGCAGCAAAGTTCGTGATTTCATCCTTCCTTAAAGCTGCATAGTATTCCATTGTGTATATATATAAATTTTCATAATCCAGTCATATGTTGCTGGACACCTAAGTTGATCCCATGTCTTAGCTATTGTACTGAATGCAGCAATGAATAATAGTATACATATGTCATTTTGAGATAGTATTTTTATGTTCTGGGTGTAGATGCCCAAAGTAGGATTGCTGGCAATGGCATTTCAATTTTAAATTTACTGAGAACTGTTTTCCACAGGGATTGTACCAGACCACATTCCCATCAGCAGTGAATTCTCACAGGAATAATTCATGAATGCAATCTTTGAAAGTATTCTAATAGCACTATCTAATATTGGCTGATAAGAAATGTGTGTCACTCAAAATGTGTGACTCAAAATGCTGTGACCTATATAGTTGGTTAATGATTGAGCTTCATAGTATCCAGTTCAGTGTTCTTTTCACTGTTCCACACAGTCTAGCTCAGGATTAGTTTGCCTGGGAACTATCGAGAGGGATGGTACATTTTCATCTTCCAGGGTTTTAAATCCTGGTATAGAAGCATCCTGCATAGGAACTAGATACAAAAGGGCATATGACTCTCAGACACCAGAAAATTGGTCTAATCACTTGTTCTACTTGCCCTACTGGGTCTGATCCTGGCAGCCCTTCTTTTCTCCTTTGTCATTTTTGGTCTCTGTCCTCTTCTACACTTGCATAAGTCTGATGGGACTGATCAGCATTTTGATGGTGACTTTGTATATTGGTGACTTTGGATGTTGAAGCTGACTTTGTATTACCAGCTCTCTCTCCTTGAAGAGAAGTAATAATGTACAAGTCAGTATGCTTGACCTGGGAACTTGAATTCATTTTAGTTGTTTTGGACGTTATGGTGTTTGCAAAAAAATCAAATTAGATATTTTTATGTCTTCATGCTAGAACTTCACATTCTAATTTTCAAGATGCCCAGCACTGCCTATTCAATTATACTAGCCTTTTTTCATAAGTGTTGGGCTCTGAAGTACATTTGAATTGGCTAAACACAGACTGGCTTATTTCTGACAGACTCTGCAGGAAAATTTGGAAACATTTTGGTAGTTCACCCTAATTTTCAGATGACAGTCTAATCGCTGATTTGTAGCATCACTTTTACTGATTTCAGTTCTGTTGAGGTAAATATAATATTGTGCATTCAACAATGAGTTGTGGGGGTCTCAATAGAATGTTGGTGATCAGGGGTGTCCAGAGAGGAAAAAGTTTAGAGAAGTTCAGCTAAAATGCATTATTGCTTGTGCTTAAGATGCTTGAATCAATAGTTTATTGATAACCTTTTTCTCCTAGAAATGTCTGCTTAGTATTTTAAAAAAGTATTATTTGTTTTAACACTAAAGTGAAAAACTTATTTGTGAAAAAATTTGTGAAAAATTTTTCTTGAATTTTTCACTCTCAGATGAAACCCATGAAGTAGGATTTTTTTGCCAAAATATGATTTTCACTTGAATTTCAATACAGGTTGCCAATTTGGCCTGCTCCATCTCCAACAATGAGGAAGGGGTAAAATTAGTCCGGATGGCAGCTACCCAGATTGACAGCCTGTGTCCCCAGGTAAGCCCTCTACACTTTGTTTCAAAAGTCTGTCAGTGATCTGATATTCAAGATGTTTTCTACCTTGCTTCTCAAGTCATGCTTTTCCGTGCCTGATTTCTTCTTGCTGCGATAACTGACTTACCATTTAAGTACAGTCTTTCTCAAATATAATTTTTAAATGCTTAGCTCTACAGAATTACTCTGGAAATATTCTTCTCTAAATTATCTTCCCTACTTCTTTCCACTTATTTTCTTTAGACTGTTAAATACTTCCTATTTATTTACCTTGTCTCAACAACAAATGATATGTTAGAGTGTGCTGAAAGTTAAACTTTGGCCTTGTATTTTCTAAGCACCAAGGGTTTATCTGGTAAATTCTTTTATAAAATCTGAGGCTTCATACAGCAAAAGAAACTCCAGAGAAACAAAGCAAGAGTTGTTGGTAACTTTATCTTTGTGTTTTTCTTCATTCTGAACACCAGAACCATTTATCTGTGGAGATTGGATGTTTCAGGGTTTCAGCATGGTATGTGACTCTTATCTCTCCCTCTTCTGAAAAGAGTGGTCATTATGTCCTTGATTTTTTTTCTAACGCATAGGTCATCAATGCTGCTCTCACACTGGCTGCCCGACCACAAAGCAAAGTGGCTCAGGACAACATGGATGTCTTCAAGGACCAGTGGGAAAAGCAGGTTAGAGTGTTGACAGAGGCTGTGGATGACATCACCTCTGTGGATGACTTCCTTTCTGTCTCAGGTAAGTGCCACAAACATTCCCATAACAAGGCAGAGGAAGGAGGAGACAAGGAGTAGCTTATAGATGTCATTGACCTATGTTTCAGTTGCTCTTCTTGGGGCCTTTGAATTTTCAGTCACCTCCAGAAATGTACTTATAATGCCATCTTGAAAAAAATCTGTCTTTGGCTTGCATGTTGCTCCAAGGCAAAATATGGAGGTGTGAGAAGATACAGATTTCTGATAGGATACCATAAACCTGAACTTTATTTAAGGCATTTTTAGTTTTCAGTTCTCGAATAGTTTCATTTGTTTTCTCTTTTTAACAGGATGGCCTTTGACACATTTGAATTATTCATCTAACAAAAGGAATAGGGATAAGAAATATACCAATCGTTGTGATTTATACAGAAAAATGATTCCAATTTGACTCAATGACATGTGGCACCTTCAAATTTTAATTCAGTTATTATGATTTACTGTACCATTCGTGCTAAGTTTCATGCTTATAATGTTCCAGCAATAACCTCCACCATATTGTGTGCTCCCTTCAACCATTCTCCGGGGATCTTCCTCAACCCCTCACCCCCACCCTTCTCCTCAGTCCCTTCTCTGCCATGGTCACCTCAGTTCTGTAGACCTGTTTTCATGTTCTCTTACTTTTGGCTGTTCGTTATTTCATTCCTCTGTTTTTTTGTATCTGCTTGGGTTGACTTTGCAATAAGGAAGAATACCAACGTCTCTTCGACAAGCCAGAGAAAATATTACTGATTTTATAGATCCAATAGAAGAAACTTGTGTGTCATTAAGCTTTGAGAACATTGTCTATGGGGTCTGAAGGAAGTGAGTGAAAGCAACTAGAAGTAGTCATCACTTGAAATTACAACGTCTTTATAAATGATGCCAGTCTGAAGGATGCTAGTGGATTTGAATAATCATGTAGTCAATTTGACCTTTAACAGGCCTCATCAATGCTATTTCAAATTTAGCTAGCAACAAACAAAAGGGCCTTTATCCAAAAACATCTCACCAAATACATTAGGCTGAGCTCACTGATTAGGGTGTTTGGGGGAGGGTTGATGGGAAAGATTTCTGGAAATATCAGCTCTCTTTACTTAAATAACTAAGTGACCCTGGGATATTTAAACTAACCAGGCATGGGTTTTCCCCACAGGTGTGTGGTACTCCCATGCAATCACCATCAACACCAATCTTGATCAGAACCAACTTGTAGTTGGCCAACTAGGGCCTGGGGAGGAGGGATCTCACACTGCTGGAGATAACCTAAACAGGAATAGAACATTTCTCCTAAGGTGCCTCTTTCTGTTTCATGATGAAACAGACTGCCTTCCCGCTAGAAGCTTGTGTTCCATTTGTCTAAAGGCAGCATTGTCCAGTGGAGAGAACAGATAATCAAAAAGTTACATTGGGAAGCATGGAAGGCTAGAAAAGACAGATGGGGAAAATGAACAAATAAGTGGCAAGTGTCTATAATTTGTCCCGCTTTTGACTATCTGCTTTAATTCTCCCCAGCATTCTAGGAAATAGGCATTAGTATGCTAAGCATCCTTCTGAGAAAAGAAAGTCATTTAAGAGGGCAAGTCACATGGTAGAAATGGTATTGAAATCTAGAGCACCTGCTTTTCTGAAACTGCATCATTTCTCATTAATTTAAGCCAAAAGGGGAATGTCTTCTGGAGACAATTTTTGCAAAAGTTCCTTTCTCACCTCTGTTTTGGTTTCTGCCCCTCTCATCCCTTTCTGAAACGCATTTTGTTTTTCCTTGCCAAAGTGGCTCATTTAAAAATATATATATTTTTTCAATTTGTCAAAGCAGCTATTCATTTCAAATATCATCATCATGGGTTTGGCTGGGATCTTGCTTTGCTGGAAGGTAGGACTTAGCTAACAATGTGAAACAATATCCAAGAAAAGCATTTCCCATAATATGCCTAGAAGTGCTTTGGTGAGCTGGGAAACATGGATCTGGGAACCAGAGGCGTGATCACCAGTCCTGAGCATCTTTATGCCAGTTCAGTGGTCTTTGCCAGGGTAATTGCAGACAGCCCTAACAAGGATGAGGGCCTACTCCTCCTTACTAGGACGAGAAGCAGCATCTGATCTAACCCTGCTGTCTGACAACCTCTACCAGAATATACTAAACATCCCTTCTACCTATAATTAAATATAAACTATTCAGGCACCACCTCTCTCAGAAAGAAAGCATTTTAGAACATTCACATTTCCCAATGTCTCTCCTACAGGCATTTCAACAATTTCTGAGTGGGGAAGCAGCCAGGAGAAGGAGGTCTTATCTGAGACATTTTCAATAGTGCAAAGCTTTTCTTCATTTTCTTTTCACCAGCCTTGCCTCTCACCCACCTTTCTCCCAGCTATTCCTTTGTGCCTCTCATTATTACCAGCCACAAGAAAAGGCTTTGGCTTTTGCTGATAACACTGTTCAGTGCAACCCCAGTGGTACAAGTGCCATGCTGGAAAAATGAACAGCTGCTGTCATGGAGCCAGACTTGGCAGGGCCTGCTGTGTCATGCCTTTGGAGTTGACAGGGGGAGGCAGCAGGCACCTTTCCACAGAAGGGCTTAACAAAAAATGACACGCTCCCCACCCTCTCCTGCTGGTAGGCTGTTGACACAGCCCAATAGTTGGGGAAACTACTTATCTCCTCTTCAACTTGGAGCCAGAGCATTTGCATCTGTAAATTGAAAGTTTGACCCAGGAGATATATTTAGAGTGGCATTAATGATATTTATGCATCAGTTTCCTCTTAAGGAAATATCTATACAGGCAGGAAACTCGACTTTTAATAACCCCATAATGATATAAAGTTGATAGTGTCATTTTGTGAATGTGTGTGTGCATGTTTTGTATTTATTTTGATCATGCCAACTGAATGTGTTTGTCTAGCCTGCGTGCTTGGTGGGTCCATATGAAAAGCAACAAGTTTGGGGAACAGTGATGCTATTAACATTACAGGAGTAGTCTCAATTTTCAGATAAATTTGGGTTTATTAAAAAAAAGTTGGAATGTCTATGCCAGAACACTTAAACTTTTCCCACTAGGCAAAACTTCTGATTTTTAATAGTTTTTAAAATGAGTATTTTGGCATTAGCCATGTGACAATTTAATTCATAGATCTGGCTCACAAAATAGCATGCATCTAAGATCTGAAAGAGATATTCACTAAGTTCTATCATATGCAAGAGTTTTATTTTTCTTTTCATTTTTTCCTAATTCTAAGTTCTTGAGTTAGTTTCATTAAAGACCATAAATCCACCTAGTGAACTCTAGTTTTGAATTTAAAAACTTTACATGTTAAAGACAAAAAATAATCAAGTGTTTTGGTCATCGGTGATTCTATAACACAATTATATCTTTTTTGTAATAGTACATTTGCAAAAATTGAAGGATGTTTATTATAAAATGTGTAGCAGCCAAATGTTTTAGCCTATGTTTAGATGCCACACTTCATTTATTGGTTTAACATCTAAAAACTACCTGGGTATTTTCCCCCTAGCAACGAAGTCTTCTCTGGAATATATATATATATTTCTTATAATTTTTACATATTTTGCAATCTGGAACAACGTTCTTTTAAGTTCTTGAATCCCTTCCCTTAAAAATATCTCAAATGCAAACATATAATTGTTGTCTTTCACTTGACATATTTAATATTTACTCAGTTGCATTCTGTATTTTGGCTTTATAAGGGATGCAAGTATGGAATCATGTGGATTCCACATTCAGGCCTGTGGTCCAAGATCTGTAGGTGGAAGGAGTAGGAGGGGAGAACTTACTACATAAGGTGTCCAGAAATCTGGAGATACAGCAAATATGGTATTTTGAGTAAATAATATGTCCTTGTGAGCAGGTATAAGACATATTTGAAAATATTTTCAATTACACTGTGAGTACTTAGATTAATAAAATTCAACTCTATTAAAAACATTCTGAGTCACAGTAGTTTTCACATATCAACCCTTCACAAATTACTGCCATGAAAGAATCATGATTCATAGTTCCATTAAAGTGGTAATTCTAATTGGGAAGATTGGGAAATGCTGAATAATCAATCTCCACTTTTCAAAAGTTGATTCACAAAAACTTAATTAAAAGAGTAGTAAAATTATTCACAAAATATAACCTAATCATGAAACAAATGGAACTATTTGATAATGTCAGATCAACTGACATCAAAAGCAATGTCACCTTTGCTTGTTTTTTTCAGATGTATAAATATAAATACATATGTGTACCTTTATATATATACATATACACACATACACATACATACAAATCATCAATAAAGGTATACATTTCCCTCTGCTTTAATTAGTAAACATTGGGTTATATGTGAGCTTTTTGAACTTTTTAACAATGTTTTAACTCCAGAGAGATTAGTAATCCTTAAGTTTTCTCAGTTTTGCATGTAACTCCAACCTAAACATAAGCACAGAAAAAAAGTAATAGTATCATTTATTTTCTTACTACTGTTACTTAAAATAAAGACAAATAGACACACATTTCTGACCCAGAGACCCACCCCATTCCTTACCCATGAAGAATAAGCATATTTAATTGCCTGCAGAAACCCAGCAAGTCAGGAAGAAACATTTATCCAAATCAACATTTTTATAAATTGAAATTCACTACTAAGTTTGATTTGAGAAATTTGTTCTTCAGCTTGTTTTTTTTAAGTGAATTTACATGATAGAATGGATCCAAGATCTAACAAAGAGTTTCAGAATTTTTTTAATTATACTGATATCTTGTCCATGTCTTCACAATGAATTTCTGTTTTACACAGGAAATGTCAGCAGTCAGAAAGTATCTCCTTTTTGTGAGTTTAAAAAGTTTGAATATTAAAATGTAAACACTTCATTTATTTTGTTTATATGCAATTAAAGTTTTAGAAATTTAAAGCGATTTGAATGGTAAATCATTACTATTTCCATAAAGACAAAATAGGTGTTCTTTATGAAATGTTAGATTTTTAAAAAATATTTTAACCTATTGTTCTTTCTAAAATATGTTAACCTAATGTTCTATCTAAATAGGGCAAGTATTCCCTATGAGTGATTAGTTTAGAGAAAGTAACAGATCCATGATGGACATTGGGGATTTGCGAAGAACCCTCCCTTTCCTTTTTTGAATTATTAAATTCTGAACTTGCCTTATGAACTTTAAAGACAAAATAATCTACTTATTCTTTTATTAATTATTAAAGATAGCTCTTCTAATTTTAGTAGGATACCACATTAGGCTATTTTCCAACTTGTTCTTTTATCTTTAATGTATATGTGTTCTGTTTTAATGATTTCTACATAGTACTAATTTTGTCAGAATTCCCTTGGAATTTTCTTTGGGAAGAATGTATAAGGTACATAACTGAAAAATAGCAAAATTTCACAGTTGTGAAAGCTTGAGGAACTAAATGGTGTGTTTCTCTCTGCTAGGAGAGAATGAAGCCTTTTATATGCCTGTTTGTATTCTATTTAGGGCAGAGATGGGAGTGTGATCACTGACCTTGACTTGAATCCAAGGGAAGCAACCATGACTGGCTTGCATTTTTGTTGTAGGAAACGCCATGATTCTTTTCACTTGATCTGTTTTCCCATTGCATATGTTTTGTGCATGACATAATCTTAGAAGCCTGACTGGGAGATGTCTCTTCTTTCAAAAGTTCCTCTTCAATGTTTCCTTAATAGAAAACATGGTCAAACACACACTCAGACCTTGACTCTGGTTATGTTCTAGAAGCTGTTTCTGCTTGGTTGATCTGATTGACATTGTTAGCTGCCAAAATCATTCTGGAAAAACCTTTTCATGAAGTAAATTTCAATCACTGAATCAATGAATGGAATTTTCTTTAAGTTTCTCATATGTCTGGGTCCCCAAACCAGGAGCATTAAAGTCACCATCGATGGAGGAGAAATGCAGTACTTGTAAAACTCACCCCAGGCCTGCTTTTAGGAACAGTGTCCTGTAGTCTGTATGATGCAAGCCTTCTAGCCCATATTCAATATTTGAGAAGTAGTGCTACTGAAATTCAAAGCCATATTCTTTCACTGCATTTTAGTATTATTGGTTATATATTGTGAGGTACTTCTGAATGACGAACCTAAACCTGGTTATTAAATGACTGATGGAAAGTCATACAAACATGTGTTGTGTCCTCTTCACAGAAAATCACATCTTGGAGGATGTGAACAAGTGCGTGATAGCTCTGCAAGAGGGCGACGTGGACACTCTGGACCGGACTGCTGGAGCCATCAGGGGCCGTGCGGCCCGGGTGATACACATTATCAATGCTGAGATGGAGAACTATGAAGCTGGTGTTTACACAGAGAAGGTGCTGGAGGCAACAAAATTGCTTTCAGAGACAGGTAAACATGATTATTAGATTCAAGCAAAATGTCAGTGCCACGATTAATTTCCATATCTGAGAAAATTGGTTTCATTGTTTCCTATAGTTCTTTATACTTCAAATTATGCATGACCATGAGAAAAGTGTTCTTTGTTTCCTTGCGTTAAATTTGAATAATCATGGCAGAATAACATTTTTTTTGCTTTGAATAAATCTATTATTGATAGTTTTCATAGATCATCTGATTTAGTTCTCATCAGGGCTTTTTAAAGTAGGTAGAGAAATTCTTATTATCTCTAATTACTAATCTGAACATGGAAGTTCTAATCTCCTGAGCTGGAAAAAGGCCACGTGGCTTGAAAATAGAAACAGTGTGACTAGGAAATGGAATCTTGAACTAGAACAATTTCTACATTTCTTGAAAGCAGATCCAGTAGGAAGGACTATGAACTCAGAGTGTAGGTATAAAAACTCAAGGGGACAGAGAGACAAGACAGTACAGAAAAAAATGTATATCATGGCTGATGAAAAAGACTTTTAATGTATATAACCTTTCCTTAGAAAATCCTTAAGTGATGTCCTCCAGGGGCAGGTGACTACCCACTAGGGAATCATTGATGTGGTAAGATACAATTATATTTAGGAACCTGGCAGAGCTTTCTGGTTTGTTGGCATAGGAAAAAAAAAAATTATTCCACTGAGTTAGCAGAATAACACCCATAAAAGAATTGTATCAAAATGGGTCAGATTTTAGTAGTTTTTGCTCTCAACTAGTGTCTATTCAGAGACCTTCAGAAGTTCCCAGTGCTTTCCATGGGGTTGGAGACTATGACTTGAATGAAAGTTGAGAGACAATGAAAAGATACAGGGATGGAGAGAAAGGTTACTATATTGGATGGATTCTGAAGAGGAAATCTATGAATGAATGTTAATGAGTTGGTGATCAACTTTATCCTTTAGAGGTGAAGGACCACTCTGTAGACCATAACGGGGCCTTCTTTGGTCTGTATATGAACTATGGAGTCCACTAGGTTTTTAAAAAATACATGTGTTTTAGGGATGGTGTGGAAGAGGGGATAAATAAAATATTTATGTCCTTGGAGGCTAGAGAAATAGTACAGCAGTAAGGTGCTTGCCTTGCATGTGGCTGACCTGGGTTCAATTTTCCAGGTCATACTGCTCTTCAAGTCCTCCAAGAATGATCCCTGAGCACAAAACCAGGAGTCAGCCAGCTGTGGCCCAAAAAAACCAAAACAAATCAAAACCAACCCAAAAAATATGCCTCTGAAATGTGAAATCCAGCAGTAGTCCAAAGTTCTGCACAATAAGACATGTTAGTAGAACTTTTGCCTTCTTCGGAGAAAGGGGTTATTTACAAATACTTCTATAGATATTTGTTAGTTTGGAATAGCAAAGAAAACCATAAAACTTAAGCTATTCCTTATGAAAACTAAACAGAAAGACAACAGTGCAATACTACCTAGGAAAGGGCACAGAGAGGGCTTGTTGCTCTTGAGAATCCTCACAAGAAATAATAACAAAGATAATGGTAATATCTCTCTGCATTTTAATTAACTAAACTTATACATTATTTTCTTTCCATATGCAAAAGAGCAACAAAGATGCCAGTTTATACCATACTTTTCTCATGAACATTTAACTCTCCAGTTAGGTCTTTCCCTTCTCTGACACCGAGTTTCTGGCCTGTTTGGGTTTTTCTGCTGTTGGAATATTTAAGATGCTCCTGGTACTTCTTTGGGGCTGATGCTGGTGAAGAGTATTAGAGAAAAGCAGAAGATCGAGACAAGGTTCTGAGTTCAGGTTTGCTTGTGACTGGTTGGATCGATAGTTGGAATCGAGGAAAGCTACAGAATATGTTGTCAATTTATATATGACTCTGTATAAACTAAGAATTCGGGCATTTTTCAAGAGTTATTGGGGAGCTTTTATTCCTTATTGTGTCTTCAGTTGTTTAAGTGAACAAAAGGACTGGTGAACACTGGATTAAAATCTACTTAAAGGTAAGAACAGTCTGATCATTGGAATATTTTAACATAATTTTCACACAAAGTTTTGAAATGCACATTTTCCAGTGTTCTGGTGTTTCATTTGATAACTGAAAAATGGAAGTGGATATTGTTCCTAATCAAGAATCTGTTTTTATTTGTTCAATGTGAGGACTTTAAAAATGATAACAGAGCCCATCTAGGATTGGAGAGATAGAGTGGGTAGCATGCTTGCCTTGTAGGCAGCAAAACTGGGTTCCATACCCACCACCCCATACGAACCCCAGGCTTGAGAGCTCCAGGAGTGACCCCTGGGTACAGAAGGAGTAAGCCCTGAGCATCACTGGGTGTGACCCTGACCCCACCCAAAAAATCACCCCATCCTTTCTTTACAGTAATTAAATATTCTAATGACTTACCTGAAGGGATCTTTCTTTTTGATGTCCACATCCAACTCTTTCTTTTTCTTCCCCCTCTTCCTGGTGTCTAGTGGCACACCCAACTCATAATATATTTGAAAAGATGAGCAAGACACTGAAGTCCTATTTTCAAGATTTATTGAAGATAACTAGGAAAGTAACCTGGTAGAAGAGACAAATACACAGTTTGTTGATGACTACGGTAGAAATTTTTCAGCAGCAAAGTTCAAGGAGAGTGGATATTAATGGATTAAGAACTATAATATGCAACTTATATAAGTTCCCTTGCATTTGTCTTCTATCATCTTTTCCCTAAACTGTGTTTATAAATATATAGAGGAGCTATCAAGGAAATACAAGCAAAATTTTCACTCTTAATTCTTTGGCTGCTAATGAGAATTCTTGGAGTATGTGTTAGGCAAATGGTTTGAAGAGAACCGAAGGATCTGTTCTGTGAAATGATTGCACAATGTTTGTTATGTCATTTCTAAAAAGAATGTCTTCTTATCGTGGCTTAATGTGTACCAACGAGACATCTGTTTCTCAAACAACAACAAAAGTACTGTGTATGTTGGGGCTCAGATTCGACCACTGTGCATTTAATATTAGGTACCTCCTAAAACAAAAAAACCACAAACGGGGACAATGGGAAAGAAAGGAAAAGCGCCAAGAGGAAGCATGAGAGAGGTTTCCCAGGACATAGAAAACAAAATGACAAGTTCTTCTGTTTTGCTAAAAGCTACTAAGTCCTTACTAATTTTAGGTCTGAGACATTAAAGACCATGAGACCATCAGATACTCAGCAACAACTCTGGACTCTCTCTACTGGATCCTTTCCTTTCCCACCTCAATCTGAGACAACAAAAAGTGTCTTTAAACCCTGAAAACCCCTGTGCAACACTGGGTGTGACCCAAAAAGCAAAAAAAAAAAAATCTGAAAAAGGGCATGATGCTCCAAATCCCGGCTAGATCAGGTCTTTGAAAACACAGGCCACACCTTATTTAGATGTGTCAGTGAGGCGAGAGATATTCTCTGTTGAGACTCTTACTTTACCACCTGGCTGCCTTGGATGATTAGTTTGAAACTGACAGATCCAGAGTGACTGAATTGTAGTTTATTTTCCATGTTAAATATGTAGTTTATTTTCCATGAATTGTTTTACTTCCTTAGTAAAACAAAACCATGTTTGGTTGAATTTTTGTGTTGATCAAATGCTGTTGTGTTTGAGAAAGTATTTTGTGAATTATTAATATGCTAAAATTCTAGGACATCCGTCTATAAAATTCTCCCTGTTTTATTTTTATAAAACTAATCTAGACTGATGAAGACACAATCAAATCTACATCAGATACAGTAAATACTTACATAGCATATTTGATGGGGTCTTCAATAAAAACTGAATTGTAATAAATTGCCAACAGCTTGATAGTAAATGCATGCTTGACCAGATTCATCTTCAGAGATTTCATTTACAAAGTCAGGTTGCTGCAGAAGGTTGAGCGGGGGCAAAAATACTTTCAGCGATATCATATTTAGATATACAGAGTAGCTCATTGCTCACTGAATAGATTATATTGAAATATCATTTTTGTCTATTTGATAGCTGATATAAGTCTGTGGCAATGTGAACATGATTAGGGTGAGAGATCTTTGATATTCTGTCTGCAGTTCCTTCTGTGAAAAGGATCTAAAATAAAATTTTCATTAAAATACTTTTTTCCCCTATGTTATTTAATATGCTGTACATGAAGATTAGAATACCATCATTTTGGAGGACACATGAGACAAACAGAAAGTTCACATTTCCTTTTTTATTAAGACTAAATTTTGAGTTTTCAGTTTATACTGTGTAACAGCGTAGTATATGTCTTATAATTATGTCTTGTAATTGATGAGCCTACATCATAATCAAGGGCTGGAGCAAGAGCACAGTGGGTAGGGTCTTTGCATTACACGCAGTTCAATTCCTCTGTTCATCTTGGAGAGCCCAGCAAGCTACCAAGAGTATCCCACCCACACGGCAAAGCATGGCAAGCTACCCCTGGCATATTTGATATGCCAAAATCAGTAACAACAAGTCTCACAATGGAGATGTTACTGGTGCCCACTCTAGCAAATCAATGGATAACAGGAGGACAGTGCTACAGTGCTACATCATAATCAAAGTTTATAACTTTTGGGGGTTATATAATATATGGTTTTTAACTCTTTGTGTTGTATATTCAGTGTGTCTATACTAAAGTGCAGGGATATGCAGGCATTATTATGGAACTATATGATCTACTTCCCATGGCTTATAAATCCTTCATATTCTATCATTACTCAGACTCACTCTCCACCAGTGGAAATCAATTTCACTGTCTCGATTGCTTTTGCTATTTCCAAAATATTGGAGTCACATGGTTGGAATGTAGTCTTTTCAGATTAATTTCTTTTTCTCAGTGGTCTTTTAGGATTGTTTGCTTGTTCTTTCTCTCATTTAAGATAGTATTTTTAACTTCATGCTTTTGTAATTAAAGTTTTCGTGAAAATATTTTAAAACTAATTTGTGTGTATTTTGTAGAAAAATGTAAAGTCAGTAAAATAGAAGTCA